AAAAAAACCTAAACCCTAAACCCCAAGGTTTAAGAGTACCGTGCTTTCCATCTTTCAGTTTTAAGATGCGAGGCCGAAACCCTCCCATAGTAAAGTTCTCCAAAATAAGGGTACCCTTGGGAGAGAAACTGTTTAGGGGTTTAGGGTTTAGGCTTTAAGGGTTTAGGGGATTAGGGTTTGGGGGTTTAAGGTTTACGGGATTAGGGTTTGGGGGTTTAGGGCTACCCTTGGGGCCAGGGTCATATAGGCATTATAAAGGGGAATATGGGGGCCCTTACATGGGATAGTGTAGAATATCTTTTGTAAAAAATTCCAGATGGCAGGTTGTCACAAATAGTCGCGATGGAGACAACGAAAGAGGATTATACCTGGTGCCTAGAACCCAGTTGTAGCCACATTCGGGGACATAGTGAGTTCTATTTGGAGTATAAGTCCAATTACCATGTGTTTTATAAGCACCCTGAACCTCCAATCAGATCCTAGCTGAGGAGAAGGGAGCCGCTGAGGGCTTCTACAAGGGTCCTGTGGCGGAGCGCATCGTCGCAGCCCTTGCGAAGCGAGGTGTCGCGGGTTTAGTGGCATATGGTTTGGTTATGAATTTAGGGACCTTAGGGGTATATCTTGAGTTAGTGTCAACCAATAGTAGTGGTATGGTAGCAATACGTAGGGGCTTAATCAAGATACGATTATCATGTGTGCTCACTATTAGTGGCAGAGGTCCCGCCTAAGACACATTGGCAGACTTTGGAAAGGGACATCCCATCTGGTAGATCCGGATGAACATGAGGTAGTCCTTTTTGTTATTGTGAGGGTTTTGGGCGAGTGTATAGTGTTGCCACGGAAGGCTGATCAGCTTACAATTTGGAGAGATTCTGTGAGAATTATATAATACTGCTCCACTTCAAATGAGAAGTGAAGGTCCCGATGAACTAGGCGTCCCATTTTCGGGGTACTGATGACAAGGACAAAAGTTTATAGAATGTATTTCGGGTCCGCTATTCTAGGAAACTACCAAGAGTACTGCAGGGGAAAGGAATGTAAGGCTTTAAACCCTAGACCTCAAGACCCTAAGCCCTAAATCCGGGAGGCGGCGTTATGGCGGCAGCGGACCTTGCTGCTCACCAAACGGCTTTCGTAGAGCCGCCTTGCCCAGCTGAGTTTGTGCCGTGAGTCATACGGGGTATGCAGGCTTCTGGTTATAGTCCACCCCCACCGTATGATAGTGACCATAGTGACTTGAAAAGGGATAATAAGGTTCATAGTAGGGTCCTATTACATTCCTATTACATCGCTATTGCAGGGTGGGGGGTCCTCCTAAGCTATAGGTTTTGATGAGCGTATCTAGGGTTGCCTAGGAATGTTTTTGGTAAGCGTAAATGCTGCGTGCGCACTTTGGGGCAGGATTGAGGTTCAGGGTCTCGAGTTCAGGGCATATTTGCCAGGGCCTCCGGGTATATTCGCCTCTTCCCAATCTTGAACCCCCCACCCACTACAGTACTATCAACACCTTCGTGTGCTGTGGTATAGAAAGATGTATTGGGAATGATCAAGATTAGCGTCTAGCGTGGGGGTTTTGATGCTAGGGGAAGTGGACTAGGTTTGGAGAGTAACTCAACCGGCAAGCTGCTTAGTCGATATGCACATCGGCTGGGACAATGTGTCTTGAGCATGAAAAATGTTCGAAAGTGATATTGCATTTCTTGTCGGACCCTGCGTTCAAGACAGCAAGGCCGTCCAGTTAATGATCCAAGTTGTCCAGATAAACCTAACATGCCCTGTATCCCTTATCATGCCTCTATACTAGAAGCTGTCTCCGCCGTATGTCTCATAGTCCTATCCTCCCTAGCTGATCTGCTGCAATGGAGCAGCCCCATTCTGCGTTTCAAATCGCACTTTGCGTTGCAGCGGTATACTCTGCGGCGGCGCTGCTCTTCGCTCACTGGTTCCTGGCAGTTTACGTTTCAGGCTTCAGGTCTGAGGGTGTAGGGCTTGTGTGTCCGGTTTTGGGGTCTTAGCGGGACCGTGTATCTACTACAAAATCTGCAGGGTTGCATAGGGATATCAAACGGATGGAGAGTACACGTGACCTAACTCTTGAGCATGATCCGTTTTGCCATTCCGTTGGTGCCCGTACAACACTTACATACCAAAGCTTGCAAGGCCGCTTCTGAGTTTGAGTCAGGCCCATGAAGTCCCAGTCCTAAACAACCCTAAACCCCTCAGCTCCTGAACCTACAGTCAAACCCCTAAACCCCAAATCCCTAAACCATAAATCCAAATCCCTAAGCCCTAAGCCCTAAACCGCACAAACTCTAAATTCCCAAAACCCGAAACCAAAAAAACTACGTTGCATCCTTTTTGGTTCATAGCATCTTCCATTTTCTCTGCAATTCTTCTATATCAGGGTATAACACCAGGTAGTATCCCATGGTCTCTCATTACCTGTCTTACCCTAAGCATTATTGCCCCCTACAGCCTAAATCCTGTGGTACTGAAACCACTCCCTAAACCCTAAACCACCCTAAACCCTGAACCCTAAGCCCCCCCAAACCCTAAACCCTAAAGTAAATCCCTTAACCCTAAACCCTGAACACTGAACCCAGGTCCTTGTCCTGCACCAGCGTAGCCTTTGCCCTGCCGGTGGTCTTGGGAATCGCCGCTTTCGCGGCCCGAGGCATTCGAGGAGATCCGCCCACGCTGAAGCTGGATCGATTGGGGTTTCAGAAAGGATTGTTGTGGCGTGTATATAACAGATAGGAGTAAAACAAAATAAGCCTTGTGATAGTGTTTCTTAATAGTATTTCATAGTGGGTTTAGGGTTTAGGGTTGTTTATTGGGTTTGGGGTCTGGGGCTTTCGGCTTAGGGTTTTGAAGTTCAAGGTTTTGGAGCTTAGAGTTTGGAGGAGAGATTGGCAATGCCTTATAATTAAAAGTCCGCCAATATTGTAGCTGCCGTGCTTATGCGCTATATGTGAGCAAGGTTTAGGGTCTAGGGAGTCAGTAACAAATTCCCCTGCTGATCCGTGAGTTACAACCCATACAGCGCATAGTTGGGATTTGGTTTCAGGTTTAAGGGGTTAATTGTTGTTTCTAGGGACCCTGGAATTTGTGACATATCCCCATGAGAACCCTATTGTAGCCGTTTATGGGTGGGTGCTCCAGCCCCTGGGTAACCGCCAGGTCCCTAACACTGTGGATTTCTGCTTTGTTTGCTTGGCATGGGTTTCCTTCTACAGGAGCTTGTCAAAATCCAGCACCCCGTCCCCCCGCACCCATGAACCCTAAACCCTAAACCCTAAACCCTGGCTTCCTGGGTGATTATGGGTCCTAAGCCCCTAAGCCCTAAGCCCAAACCCTAACTCCTGACCTAGACCCTAAACCCCGAACCGTAAACCCAGTCATGCTCCGACATATTGAAGCTGGCCTAGGGTTTAACCCCACAAAAAGTATTGTTTAGGGTTTCGGGTGCTAATCTACTTTTCAGGGGGAGGGTTTCAGGGCAGAAAGAGACATGGACTGTAAGGATGAACTGGGTCATTGGATAACAGAATTTCCGAAGATATACTTTAGGAGGACCCCCCACCCTGTAATGGTGGTATAATAGGAATATAAGAGGACCCTAGTACAATCCCTATTATCCCCTATAGTCACTATTACTGGGTGGGGGGGTCCACCTAAGATATACTATGATACACCCCTTTATAGCCCCGAATATGAAGTTCGAATTCTAAACCCTAAACCCTAAACCCTAAACGGAGCTTGTAATAGTAGCTCAATAAGGGACCCGCTGAGGAAGGGGATGGGAGTGGGACTTGGGGAGGGAGTGGTTTAGGGTTTAGGGGTTCAGGTTTAGGGTTTTGGGTAAGCCTTAGCCCCCTATGCCAAAGTCCTAAAGCCTGGTAGGGTTTAGGGATATTAGAGCCTGCCAAGTCCCAAAGCCCTATAGTGCCCCTTAAGTAGATAGAATACGGCTTTGGGTATATTATAAAAAAAATCCCCATGTACCCAATGTTCTATCTACTTAAGGGGGACTATATCCCTTGGGTCAGTGCTCCTTACGGGAACAGTCAGGAACCGTCCTAAGACTTGAAGTCTCCTTAAAGGGTTTGCAGAACTCCTGTGGCCTATTGTGGTCACTGTAGTTACGGTGAGGGGGCATGACCACACGGATCCCTAAACCCTAACACCCAGCCCTAAACGATTAGGGTTTAGGGTTTAGGGATTCGGAGTTTAGGGTAAACCCTAAACCCTAAACCCTACAAATCTTATCCTAAGGCCTGAATCCTGTAGAAGCCTAAAACCCTGTCACTGAGGAAGGGCGTCGGAGTGGGGCTCGGGGAGAAGAGTTTCTTTCATCGACTCGAAGACGCTGGGCTATGATATTCCCCCTATAAGGGAGAACCAAATGGAAAAGAACATGGAAAATAAAATGGAAACCCTAGGTCCCTTTAAGGGAGTATATGGGGATATTAGCCCTTATAACGGAGAATCAAATGGAAAAGAAAATGGAAAATGAACTGGAAACTGGGGGAACATAGGGATTTAAGGAAATCAATTGAAGTTACTTTATTGGGGGATTGGGTTTGGTCTTGGTTTAGGGTTTGGGGCTTCAGATTTAGGTACTGATGGGTGTTATAGATCGTATGACATAGGCGTATAGAGGGACGTACGGGGAGTCACAGGGTTTAGGGTTCTCACAAGTCAAGGGCTCTTTGGGAGCCCTTATAGCAAGGATTTTTGTGCATTGGGGTTTACATTGTCCCCCCCTTTATGGCAATCCCTATTAAGGATCTGGGGGTGTCTCAACATGTGGAGCTGTTAGCGATCTTGGGGGTATGTGGGGGATTGCAAAGGGCTCACAATAGGGACCTGCTGCTAACAGGGTAATTTTGATGGACTCCCATTTGAAACCAAGAAGTTGAAATCTTGAACGCCCGAGTTCCATCATCCCCTGTAGACCAGTATAGAAGTAGATTCCCAGAGAGTCTCAGGAGATGCTGATGGGGGGTGAAGACGAGCGACGCCGCTTCCTCTTCGTGGCTATGCCCATCAACCACTTCGGTGAGCGGGTCCGCTGGACCCTCGATCTCATTGGCGCACCTTATGAGGAGTACACGGTGGGAGGCGTGACCCTAAACCCTCCTTAACCCTGTAAAGAATGTCACAACCTCCAGGTAGACAAAGGGAAAAGAACAAAACAAGGCAGAAAACAGCTCGAGAATGGCTTCGCCTCTCTGAGAGAAGAGGGCTTATTCTTGTGTACATTTCCCTTTTACGTTCAAGCCCCTGATATGGACCCAATACAGCCCGTATGAAGCCCCATACACCCCTGATATAGCCCCTTGCAACGCACCCTCTAGGTCCCTTACAGAACACATCATGCACCTGATATAGCCCTTACAGAGCTCCTAGAAATCACGCAAAAACTCAGCCCTAAGCGTAGGTTCGTCTCCCAAACTGAAACCTGCCAATGCTAAAAATGAGTATGTTACTGTAGCAGCTTCACTGCATGTACTGTAAGGGGATTGATCTCAGCCCTCAAAACCCTTAACTCTAAACGCACCCTAAACCTAAACCGTTGAAAGCCCTTAAAACCCTAAGACCGGTAAGCCCGAAGCTCTAATATCCTGACCATGGGCCCTTGATGTGGGCCTCTACTTGTTCCCTGGGTCCTATAGGCCCCCTTAAGCAGATAGAATATGGGGTTATATTGGGACAATGGAAAAGAAAATGGGAACTACTATTTCGGTTTTAGGGTTTGGGGTATGTAGTCCCCTTTAAGGGTTTGGGTATTTTATAATGTCCCCATTTTCCCCCTATTCTACCTACTTAAGGGGGACTATAATTATGGACCGTTAATCAGGATTTTATTTAGGGCCCATACCAGGCGCGCATAGCTTATCGTAAATAAGTAAAACCATGGAGGCTTAATCTCGGCTTTCCTTCGGGGCCGCAGTGTGCCGCAGCTGGTGGACCGCAAGTCGTGCAGTATCTCCCTGGTGCTTATGAGGGATGAGGGTTTACGAGTTAGGCTTCAGGTTTAGGTTTTAGGGACATAAGCAGTTAATGTAACGGGATAGGGGATTTTAAGCATCAGCGGGATGTTGCAGCACATAAAACTTGCTGCTGTTTAAAACGGTGTGGGCGGACCCCCCACATTCTCCAGTAAGACTCGGGGGCTCTCTGAAGACTAGTGTCCTTTTCAACGTCTGGGGGGGCTGGTAGGGATCAAGGTCTAAGGCTTAGGGGTTAGGTTTGAGGGTGCTGTGCGACCTATAATGCCTGGTTTTTGCAGGCAATCTTTTCCGTTACTATTAGAACCCGCGCCCCAACATTCAACATACCAATAAAGCCTAAATAGGAGGTCATGTCCAATGTTAGGGGAAGAGGTGCTTATTGCTAGACTGCTAGACAGATGTGATTTGTGCTTGGGGTTCGGATGTAGTGTTTTAAGATGATTGAAGCAGGGACCCGCACAGGGTTCCAAGCCTCAGTAAGTCAGCAAGGTATGATCGGCAACAGCGACGAGTGCCTGGCAACCTGATTTTCACTATTCTCTGGCCCCTAGCGTTTGAAAGAGGCTTCTGGTATCCCGCCCACTCAAGTTAGAATCTACTAGCAGATGATCATCATTGGGTCCTAGTTCGGGGTGTTAATCGGTTCCTTCCTTGGGGTATCGCCAAAATGGGAGCAGACAAAAGGAGCCCACGTATTTTTGGGGGGGATTCTCCCTATTCTGGGGGCTGGGTTTTCAAGGGCCTTTCAGCTAGATGAGCTATAGTCTAGACTCCTTGAAGGGGCTTATTAGATAAGGGATTATATTGAGGACTATAAGGGCTATTAAGGGGGATAGGAGTTTAGACGATGGCTCAGATGTGCCCTGTCTGCTTGTTTTACAACAGAGTTTTTTCTTCGAGAAATGTGGAATGTCAGCGATGCCCCTGAGGAAGGGTGAGGGGAGAGGTTACCTTTAGTATTTGGGGGGATGGGTGACTTGCACGTGAAGCTGCCTTTGGGCTCCACGGAAGCGAGGCCCATCTCTCTTTTGTAGTATTTCAGCAACATTTCGCCTAAACCCTAAATCAAACCTAGGTCGACAGCGTAAGGCTTTTGCATATTTACAAATATGATGGAAAGTCTTTCAGGACAATGAGCTGTCCATAGGATTAGGGTTTAGGGTTAAGGGTTGCTTACTGAGCCCTTCTCTGAATCCAACAGAAGGACCCAAAGTCAGCAAGAGGATTTTGGTAACTCCGGCGCGGCGCCGATACTTTGGACCCTACTGCCGCTATATGATAACAATAGGGTCCAAATTCTGGGGGTCGGTGTTCCTGAGATCCTCTTGGGTTTGCGGCATAGGGTTTTCATATAAACCCCTGTAGAACCCCAGTTTCCATTTCATGTTCCATGCCTTTTTCCATTCGATGCTCCATTATCGAGGGTAATTTCCCACGTATGGAGACGCTAAACTCTATAAATCCCAGCATCTCCCAATATATATATATACATATATGTATGTATAGATTATAGATCTGTACTTATATTCCTAGGTATATGTGTGCGTATGCTTATCCCCACATAACACATGCATGAGTAGAGGGGTCCTTTCTGATTAAGCCTCCCTGTGATGTTCTAAGTTCCGAGCCCATGAGATTCCCCATCAGGCCTTTTGCAAGGAAATGGGGTATATAGGGTTTAGGGTTTAGGGTTTTAGGGTTTAGGGTTTAGGGTTTTAGGGTTTAGGGTTTAGGGTGTAGGGGACTATTTTAGGGGATATTGGAAAAGAAAATGGAAATTATTTTAATGGGTTCTATAAGGTATAGATTTCCTTGCCTTGTGCAAGGAAGTTGTAGGGCCTGGGGCTGAGGGTAGCGCTTAGCCTCTGGCTCATGAAGGGTTTAAGGTGTTGAGGTTTGGGAGCTAAGTGTTTAGGAGTGTAGTGTTTTAGGGCTCAGGGTTTTGGACCCTAAGCCCTAAACCCTAAACCCTAAACCGTGTAGTGTTTTAGGCCTACCTCAGCGCCGCCTATGCCCCGAGCATCGCTGACACGCGTTTCCTCGAACTGTTAAACAGAATTTTCAGCCGTTCTGAGGCGGACACCGCAGTATAGGATAAGATCGGTCATGTTTTGTCATCGACCTGATGAATGCTTGTACCTTAATTTTGTTTACATCTTTTTCTCTGGTTCAACAAGATTCCCTTTCTCTTGTTTCTCGGGGGTTCTTGAGAAATTAGGGTTCTAGTGTTTTTGGGGTGAACCTCCCCCCCACTTTAAAAAACCCTAAACCCTTAACCCTTTCAAACAAACCCACAATATACTAATTTCCCTTTAAAAAACCCCAATGTAGACCCCCCAAAATATTATACTCCTTACTATGGGGAACCCAAGAGTCCAGGGTTGAAACCCTAAACCCCTAAACCTCTAAACCCCTAAGCCCCCCAAAACCCTAAAAGCTTAACCCTAAACCCTAAACCCGATAGTGAGTTTAGGGTTTAGGGTTCAGGGTTTAGGGTTTAGGGTATACACTTTTGGACATACCAGCAAGAGCCCAGGGTTGAGGGCCAAGGCCCTCTCGTTTCTGCGTTTCGATGAGCAGACCATGGCATGGGACGTGAAGCTTAACCAGCTCGGGCATCTCGTGCAAGGCCAGAGAATTACAAGCTATATAGGGTTTAGAGTTTGGGGTTTAGGGCCCCCAGCAGTTCGGAGAGAGTCCTAAGTTGAAAAACAGCCTAAACTCCCTCTCCTTAAAGGGAGTTTCTGTAGGGGACTATATAGACTATGTAGGGTTTGGGGTTTAGGGTTTAGGGTCTAAACTCCCTAACGGTAATTGAATAGGGGACCAGTATGGGTGTTACTAAGGGGGATACTAGGAGTTTCAACTATAGCTCAGAATATCCGCACATGCACACATACCTTCGCAAAGATTGGGGCGTTACATAAGGGATCACAAGCCCCCACCTTCATGTAGGGTTGAGGCGTTTAGGGTTTAGAATATTTGCATGTGCACACATACACATGTACATGTCGAAAGTATGGCCCTTCTGTGAGGCACCATAAATCTTAGGGGCCGTGTAACGATGGGGGCGCAAGAAGGGCCCATAATTTTGACCTAAACCCTAAAAGACTCCTGCGGTTGGGTGAAGCCGTGAAGGTTGGGCTTATTTCTATGTCCTGGCACTGGACATGACGCCAGAAGGATGTCTCACCGCCTTTGGGCCAATTTCGAAGCATTTGGTGGTTTCACAAAATTTGGGGTACCCTTCTCTATAATAAGGAAGCCCCCAAACTTGAAAGCCTTCAAAACCTACATCCTGGGCTTGGTTTCGGGTTGCCCCTAAACCCTATACCCTAAGCCCTAAGCCAATCCAAGGCCTGGGGGGCCTTCGAACCCAAAGTGCCTTTGATGCACCGCCTCATCCTCAAGTTCGGCCATCCTTTCCTCAGGCGTGATTAATGTAAACCCATGATGAGTAACCCCCCCCTCCTTCGAAGGGCCTAAATATTAGGTTCCCTATTATGATCCCCATTAAGGGGAGGGGGTTGATTAATCAGGGGTCTGGGTTAGGGATTACCACCCTGGAGCCCCTAGGATTTTGGGTTTATATAGTGAGAATGAGAAAGAAAATGGAAACTACGACAAAGAGGTTATATGGGATTTAACTTTGGGTAATATAGGGATAATGGAAAAGAAAATGGAAACTACTATTTAGGGTTTAGGGTTTAGGTTCAGGGCTAGGGGTTTTTGCTCCCCCTTTAAGTAGATAGAATATGGGGTATATAGGGTTCTTATCACAGTATACCTAAAGCCTTATTCTATCTACTTCAGGGGGATTATACTTCTGAAGATCTCCAGTTGAGGCCTTAGGGTTCAAGGCTCCGGGCCGGCGGGTTAGGGGTTTAGGATTTAGGGTTTAGGATGATGCAAAAGAACATGGAAGCTATAGCATATTGGGATTATATAGGGAGAATAGGATCATAATAGGGATCCTAATATTAAGGCCCGTAAAAGGAGGTGAATTATTAGTAAGGGGTCTACATTAGTTCTCAAGCTTCGGGAGTTTTGTGCCCTTCGTGTTCTAACCTTCACCCGTAAATCCTAAACCCTAAACCCTAAAAACCCTAAACCCTACTTCACCTTGAACCCTAACCAGAAGCCTGGCCAGGAAATTCATGAGGCTTGTTTTCGAGCTATCAAATGAGGAGGTACGAGACCGGCGGCGGAAGATGATTGAGTCAATTTTGGATGAAGCTGCTGCCTGGTTCTGCTTGGGACATCATTTTTCATTTCTGTTTACTTGCAGGTTTACATCATGATGGTTCAACTTCCACAGGGTTGAAATCGCAGCTCAGGATGCAACCCTTTCAAAGCAGAAGTTCTTGGCAGGAGATGACTTATCCCATGTCGACATCACTTTCAGCGCGCTCCTGGCTCCACTGCTTGGCGCTCGCTTGGTCTTCGCCCCTAAATCTTCGTATGCCAACGGCCGGTTCAGTTCGTTCAATGGGGCCATGGACCGGATGTCAGATAAGTGGCCACGGGCTCTCCTTGAATTTGAGCAGAGCCTCCTGAAGAGACCTTGCGCAAAGCATTGTATATCACTCTATGAGAGCCTGCGTTCGACGCAGCTCTAGTAGCGGGTGTGCCTACCATCCTGGCCTCGAGTATGGGGTTTAGGGTTTAAGGGTTTAGGGTTTTAGAGTTTTAGGGTTTAGGGTTTAGGGTCTGATTCCGCAGATTCTATTTCGGCGGTCACCTCCTCTGATTGAGCACCCCACTCCATCGCACCATCGATGGATGTCCTCGCTTTGAAATTCCACGGCAGATTCACAGGCAGCAGTTTTTGAGGTGAGGAAGGGGTTCTACTACTGGGTTGCTTTCAAGGGATTGAAGCTCTATTACCATAACATGGATATGAAATTAAAAATATGGTTTCGCTATACGGATATTAGCTTAAGTTCGGTCCGTGCTCTCAAAAAGCTTGACTTCCTTGACAACAACCCAGTTCATTCGGAGGAGTTGAGTTTTATGCAATATGATCTTGGGCAGAGGACGCGGGTAAGAGCGCAAAAGGAAAAACCTTGCTGTCTTGATGAAATCGATTAGCCCCCCTGGGGTCCGAGTTTTTTGAGGATTGGTCCAGAGTTTCTTGACAGAGTGAGAGCAGTTGAGGCGTTGGTGAACCTTACACATTAGGAGGACCCCCCCCACCCTGGTATAGTAGGAGTATGACATGGCCATATTATATATGGCTTCTTATCTCCTTGTAGTCCCAATTACAAGGTGGGGGACCCACCTAACATATCCCCGAACCCTAAACCCTATATAGTAGTTTCCATGTTCTTTTCCATTATCCCCATATTCCCCCCCCCACCTGACTATCCTCCCATTGTCCGATCATGTCCTGAGGAGCAAAAAACTCTTTGGGACCGAGCTTGGACTTTAGACCCTTAACCCTTTGGGATCCCTTATAAGCCTATTATAGGTACCTAAAGGGTTAACCCTTAGTAGGGGTCCTAAGAGGAGCAAAAAATTAGGGGCCTGACGCAAACACTTTAAGTCTTAAACTTTCCAAGGCAGGAAACCATACAACCCATCCCCGAAACTGGAAGCCTGACAAACTGGCAACATGATTCAACATGATTATTTTTGTATATTCCTGTTTAATTCTAGGTTAGATTTCCACCAAAATCTATTCAAATAATTTCAGGCCGCTCTATAAGAATAACGTGTTGCCCAGGCCTATCTCCACGAGTTTCCGTGGCAAAGTGAGGTACCTCGGCTGCAGATTGACGTTTGTTGATCGGTTTCAGGACCCACGCCAGCTTCAATGAAAACCGGGTTGCTGTCAAGGAACTTAACCAAAGTTGCTACTACAAGAAAACCACAGATTTCCCTCTATACATACTCTTAGCCGTTTTATCATAACTTAGTTCAAGTTCTTTCAACAGCCTAACACCCAAGCGAAGGCGACTTCAGCATGTACAGGGCTCCCTGAAGCTTATGGGTACACTATGGAGACCTGATTACCTTAAAAGGGGTCATATAGGGGTATGGAGGGCTCTGTAGGGGTAAATAGGGGTGTGTGTAGGGTTCAGGGGATTAGGGGGAAATGCCGCTCGAAGCAAATGAGTTGGTACGGTAATTCGAGGATATGGCATGTTTCGCCTACCTTGGGGTCATAAGACGTGTCCAGAGGGCAGATGATGATTATCTCAATTTACTTAGAACAGCGTCCCCAAGATTTTTGTCAGTCAGTGGCAACAATGAACGTGTTTTCATTTCTCACTGTGTTGGGTCGAGAATGGTTTTTGAGGTTAGACCAGGCGAGAAGTACTACTTGGACTTCCCAATAATTCAATAGTCTTTTGTTTCTATCCCAAATGACCATGTGAGCTATAGTCTTAACTTCTCAAAGGGGGGGTACTTAGCAGATTATATACGGAGTATTATAGGGGCTATTAAGGGGGATACGAGGAATTTAGACTATGGCCCATGTGGGCGGTTGTCGAAATTATGATCCCTTTTTGGGTACCCTAAATGTTTGGTGCCATATTATACTAGGGATCCCAAAAAAAAGGACCATAATTTTGACAACTACCCATGTACCCTAAACCCTAACCCCTAAACCCTAAACCCTAAACAGGGTTCTTTGAAGGCACCTCTGCTCTCACCACTACCGGTAGGTACCCCAGTAGTATCCTTTTTTCCCTTTTTATTTAGGTGGTTTCCTTATTAGAACTGAATATAAGGAAAAGGGTACCCTTATTATTAAGGGGTTACTGGGGAAAACATTTCCTTTTGCAAGATTTTATGAAGGTAAAACCCCCCAAGGGTCCTAGGTTGTCCCAGTGGTTGGTTTAAGGTTTAGGGTTAAAGATTCAGGGTTCAAGTTTAAGGTTTGACATTTAAGGCTTGGGGTCAAAGGTTTAGGGTTGTAGTTTAAGGTTTAGAGTTTAGAGTTTCGGGTTTAGTCTCCTCCCATATACTACAAGGTTTCCCATTGAAGGTCCATTGCGGGTCCCGGATTAAGGGGTTGGAGTTCAGGGCTTTTTGTTTTTCGAATAGTTTAGGGATTACAGTTCAGTGGCTTCAGTGGTTGACGACGTATGGTTCAGATGTAAAGTCTTAGCGGCCTACATGACATTCTTCATGCTGGAATCGATGCGCATTGGTTTTAGTTGGGCCCGTGTCTCTTGGAGTAGAAGGGCGTATGATAATGGAGGTCGCTCTTCAGGGACAGAAGGGGTATCTTTCCAGAAGTTTCCACGTAGTTTGTTGATAGCGCTGCGCATGTCTGAGCGTAGGGGTTGTTGTCATCCTGAACACTACCTTCCAACCCAGCATGAAAGCCCCTAAAACCTAAGCCTTAGATCCGTAGACCCCCAATGACACCTTAAACAGTTAGGTGGTCGCAATACATACTTTGAATCTTGGTATCATCTCCTCCATCCCTTGAGGCGACTCTTTCTGGGTGGGGTGTACCACCTGTGATAAATTTATATCATATCGTTATATTATAACTTATAACCCTTAAAAAAGCTTCCTGCATCCAGACCCTAAACCCTGGACCCCAAACCCGGAACCCTAAACCCCAAACCCCTAACCCGGAGACTTCAGAGGCTTTGGGAGTGCCCGCCTCCCACGCAGGGCATCACGGCTCCCTGGCCTGCAATGAGATTTATAGTCCCCCTTAATTAGATAGAACATAAGGTTTAGGGTTTAGGGGTTATGTAGGGATACTGGAAAACATGGAAATTACTATTCGGGGTCTAGGGTGTAGAGTTACAGCCCCCTTTAAGTAGATATATGGGGCATACGGAGATCTGGGTCGGGGGTGAAACTCTACTGCTGCGCTTTTGCGTTTCTGCGGGTATACTTAGTGGACATGGTCGACTTCCATGGCAGGAATGAATTCCAGGGCCGTTTGGGATTTAGTTATCCTACATAATTATTGGGAGTCTCTATTACACAAGAAAATCGTGACCAGCTAGAAGAACCAATTCCCCAAACACCGGTAGACTTCCACCCCGCACCCGGAGATCTTGTTCTAGTATACCCACAGCCATATTCTATCTACTTGGTGGGGATATTGGTGTTTGGGTTGGGTGGGGGGTGGAGCAATGTAGCAGCACCCGACTGTTAGTGTAATCACCAGAAACTTAGTATCCTGCTTGATAACCCCCATAATACCCCCCCATGCAATCCTCTATATAACCCCCTTCTAAGACTTTAGAGTATAGGTCATATGACGCAATCACAGCTTGCGAAGCCTATCCAGCTGCCCGAGAAGCAGGCCTATTTTGAAACGTAGGGTCTGAAAGAATGCGTTTGGGACCTCCAAAAGTCCATTCCTCCAATTCCTACCCCAGAAACCTGAACAGCATACCCTAAACCCCAAACCCAAATCCTAAACCCTAAGCCGCTTAACCACTAGCAAGCTGGAAGTTCCACATACATGTCAATGCTTGTTGTCGATAATCTTAAGAACCAGCTGAAGCTGCAATTTCTACCCGGGTTCCAGGAAACCTGAGAAAACCGGGATATGTCCATTTCATGCTCCATGTTTTTTCACGTGGTTCTCCATGTCACGGAGAACTTAATGCTTCATGACCCTAGTTTCCATTTAACCTACATGTTCTTTTTGATTTGGCCTTCCATTCTTGCAGCTTCCATCTTCATTTCCATTCCCTAAACCCTGGAGGCTCTGATGGCTCTGTCCCTCCTGGAGCAGCGCGGCGCCGTGCCAGCGCGTCTTTCCGCCGGGGCGGTGCATGCCCAGGCGGAGGCGCTCATGGGACGGAGGAACGGTTCGGAGTTTCTGAGACTCCTAACGGGACACAAACTTAGATCCCCTAGAATTAAAATAGTAGGGTCCATAAAGGGGTCATATACCTAGGACGTATGACTATACCCCTAAAGCTGCCGCAAACTCACCCTGGTATATGCTCCTCTTCTCCCAAAAGCGGCAGAGATCAGGCGCTTCGATTTGCATTTGCGGATGCGCTGTCTCAGACTCAGAGGGCAGATGCCAGAGCAGCATATCTATACCATGGTGAGTTCAAGTTTATTAGGGTTTAGGGTTGGGGTTTGGGTTGCTGGCTTAAGCAACGCCAGATTCCCCCGCCCTTTAGATAAACTAATTATGGTAAGTACATCAGGGCTCCTACATATTCCGATCATCTGGGCAAATCAAAACACCCTCGCCTGACATCACCCCAAAAGAACCCAAACTTACGGCAGAGGGAGTATATCTTGCACCACCCTATATATTTCATACTCTCTCGATAATTACAGTACTTTGTGGATCCTAAGTGTTGTAAGATTTCCTCCATTCACCCTAAACCCTAAACCCTTACTAAACCCTAAAGCCAAACCACTGGCCTCATAGCACCGAGGCAATTTTGCGCGGACCCCTCCGCAGGAGGCGGCACCTCAGTCGTTCGCCTTCTCAGCAAGGTAGGGGATGGACTTACAGGGCTAGGAGAAGATAGAATATAGGGTTTAGGGATTAGGGTTTAGGGGTTAGGGTTTAGGGGTTGGGGTTTGGGGTTTAGGGTTGGGGTTAGGGTTTGGGGTTTAGGGTTTAGGGCTCAGGGTTTAGGGCTTAGGGTTTATAGTCCCCCTTAGGTAG